TCCCCACTGAGATGAGGAATGATGTCTGATCACATACTGCTACCTGGCACGTCACACTTCCTGAACAGGTCAGTGTAAAAGGACTTGAGCAACTACTACCTTCAGTGAAGTGACTCAAAAGGGTGCTTTGTTCTAACCAGGGTCTTGAAAGAAGCCATGTAGATGACAGGTGCTGACATACTGTACAGATGGTCTACATAGCGTTATGTTATGCACGGCCTTGTGCTCTGTCCAGACCCATGGGACTGAGGGACCTTGCAGGTTTAACACAGCCAAGCCATTCCACCCTGTTGTCTGTACTGCCCACACTGGTCACCTCGGGGGCCTGGCAAGAAAAACGTAGTTTATTGGTAGGATTAGTACCCTCTAGTTTGGCTCTGCAAGGTTTTAGGAGCTGACAAAGAAGCAGCACTGCTCCTTTCTGTAGTGACATGGTTCCTTGAGGTGCCTGGAAGTGCTCCAGCAGCTGCTCACAGAGCTCTTCCCCATCCAGAGATGGTGTTGGTGCTGCTCTGGGAAATGGTTGGTCTTACTGGGTTCACTGATCCAGAACCGGTCTCCTGGCGTAAACTGGAGAGGCCTATGCTTATGGTATGGTTAATCCACAACTCACATACTTGCTGCCTTTGAACAGGGCAGCTCTCTGAAACGTTAGTCCAGAACTTGAGGTTTTGGGGTGAAATGGCACTGGTGGCGTGTGTTGCTCCTGTTTGTGCTGACAGAGGAAGAACAGACTGAACACAGCAGTTTCCTGTGTTGCTATCGCAATTCTGCTGTTAAAGAGTTAACGAACTCTCTGCCTGCTTCTGCAGCCATTGCCTTGATGACCACAGCAGTCATTTCTACCTGTGACCATGGCATTGTGGCGAAGATCAAGAGAGTGATCATGGAGAGAGACACATATCCCCGCAAATGGGGTCTCGGTCCCAAGGTCAGTGGCATGGGGGTGCAGTCAGTCCCAGGGTGGCGGTGGGAGCCCAGCTGTCAGGATGTGGGACTCCGGGCCCCTTGGGCAGAGCTGCACCTGTGTCTTCTCCAGGGCCTCTCTGTAATTCTGCTGTGGTCTCTTGGAGCCACCATGGTGGTGCTTCCCAGTGCTGGGGACCATGACAGCCCAGTGCTGGTAGGAGTGAGGCTTTCCCTCTCAATGGAGCCTGGACAGCTTTACCCAAGTCTCAGCTGGGGCTGCCACTGGTGCTCACACGTGGGCTCCTCAACTCTGTACAGCATCAGCCTTCCTCTGGTAAAGAGCCAAATGATGTGAAATGGATGGCATTAGCGCTCTCTGCAAAGATGACCTTCATCTATCACCCCATACTGATGGCTCTGGAGGGGCTGGGCAAGGAGCTGCTTTTCCTTCTGGTTCGACTACAACAGTGCCAAAATGCAAACTGTCTTGTGAGGCTCTAAATTGAACCCATTGTTGGGTTCCTCTCCTGTGTCAAGCATGTGGTAGTCATGGAAGTCAGCAGGTCAGCAGCACTAGCTTAACTGCAGCCAGACTGGCGTTTCACTGTGGTGAGTGATGCAGCTTGAACTTAAAACTTGGTGTCAAGTTTGTGTGGCTTATTCCATTCCTGTGGTTCAGGTGAAACGTAGAAAGCTGTGGGGATGCATGCATATCTGTCTTGAAGCAGATGTGAGGTAATGTGGACCAGTTCAAGGATCTTGGAGTTTGTAGCAAAGCATTGCATTTGCAGCTGGAGTGGTTCAGCTGAAATGTGGCAGGTCATTAAGCTGGAGAAACAGAGTCAAAGATCTGAGCTCCATGATGTGCAGAGACATCTTACTCTGCTTCTGTTACTTCCCACACAAATTAGCACTTGTTTACTGATTAAGATGCCTCCTGTCTGAGATTTGTAGGCTGCTGTGCAGCGGATGTTTTGTGTGATTTGTTAGAAGGTCCTTGGAGAAGTCTTAAATCAGTAACGCTGTAGTTGTTGGCTCGGTTTGTTCCTGGATTACCTCCTCTTAGGCCGAGTGGCTGAAGCCCTGGGGAGGATTTCTCCTCCCTGGAGCAGAAGTCTGACTTGTTGCACGTTATTCTCAGGCCAGTCAAAAGAAGATGATGATTCAGAAGGGTCTGCTGGACAAGCATGGAAAGCCCAACGAGAGCACACCTGATTCCTGGAAGAAGGAGTATGTGGATTACAGGTAGGTACAAGGTGTGTGGCTCCTGCATGGTGGGCGAGGGGAGCCTTGCACCGTAAAGGCTGGGCTCGGTGCTATTTGTGCTTTGACCATGTTAGACCTGGTGCGGGGCTGTCGGCTGTCCGGACCCGTGGTGTGCGGTGGCATTTCTTGTAGTCCCAGGCAATATGCTGCTAGTGGGCAGTGCCAGAGGGAAAGGCCCTGAGCAGACAGTTATCCCTTTCTAGCCTGTGCTTGTGGTTTTAGAGGGAGTCAGTCTGCTAAATTAAATGAGGGAGACCTTGCTGTTGCCCAGCCCAGCCGGCCCTGGTGCAGCCTACAGGTCTTCCTCACACCAGCCTCCTCACCCAGTGCTTGCCATGGGTTATGGAGCCCTTGCAAGGGGGACAGAGCTTTGTACTTGTACAGAGCAGCATGAGGCAGCGGCTGTCCGGCTCAGCCTGTGGATCTTTTCTTTCAGGGATGCTTCTGTGAAAGAGGCAACTGCTGTTCCCCGAGCTGTTTCAGAGCCAGAGAGGGCTCCAAAAGTGAGTATTGTTAGTCCTGTCTGGCCGTAAGGTTGTTTGGGCCCTGATGAAGAGTGGGTATGCGCCTGTTCATTTAGGCAGTTGGTACCAGGCGCTGGATTGTCTGCTACTTTGGTTGGTTGTTTTACAGGGAAAGGTGTTTCATATTCTGGGAGCTAGTGGTGTGATGTATGTTGTGGTTCAGTGGCCCATGAGCTAGCTGTAGGGTGACCTGTTTAGGGCCTTACCCCTGGGTGTTTGTCTCTGGGATGTACTTTGGGTATGAGTCCTGTAGCACAGTATGAGAATCAGGAGCTCTGACTTGTGGTGTACAAGCTGCAGCATCCAAGGAAATATGTTGTATGGAGCCACAATGGGGGTTTGCTGTGCCAGAGAACCTTTCTGGAGACTACAGACAGTTGCAGAAATGTCCATGCAAGAGTTGCATCTGAAGCTCCCTAAGTAAGGGCTTGCGCATGCACTTGGAAAGGTGCAGCAGTGTTTCAAACTCTGAACCATTTGGGTTACAGGAAACACTGAGAAATATGGGGAGCAATTCTGGCAGAAGCAAATCCTAGACAGTGTATGCTGGAGGAGACCACTGGCAGTCTGCAGTTAACCCTCCCATTAAAAGCGTTGTTAACTGCAAAGTTTGATGGGATCAGGCAACATAGTTGCAATGGGCTTGCAGTTTTCCGGTCACTCGAGTTCCTTTGGAAGATGGTGAGTCTGACAATATGTTTCCCTAACAGAGGAAGCGAGAGTCGGAGAGTGAAAGTGAGGAGGCTGTGACCCCACCATCCCCTGCCACCCCACCACCAGAGGAGCTGAGCAAAAAGGAAAAGAAAAAGAAGAAGAAAGAGAAGAAGGCCAAAGAGGCAGCTGAGAGTGGAGAAGAGCAAATAGAAGTGGTATGAACTGGGTGCTGTCATGGTACAGTCCAGGCATGGAAGAGGCTGCTCTTTCTGCCTAATATCTCCAGGATAAATGCATCAGCATCCTGCTGTGTATGTCCCTAAAGTGCCAGGCTCCCCACAGGCAGAGAAAGATGTCTATATAGGTGCATTTTTAAATTGAACTGGTTGAGGGTGGTGGGAGATCAGGCAGGTGAGGCTTATGGGGGTGGATGTGCAGTGGGGCAAGGATGGGGTGAGCAGCCATCTGTGCCCCAGGGCAGTTGGTGGGTACATGTTCATGCCAGACCGCCTTTGTGCTCTGGTGCCCTGTAATGGGCCTTGGTGGGAGGATGGTGCCTGGCATGGTCCTGGAATTCAGTCAGTGTGTTTGAGTGCTTGTATGGTGGTGAGGGAGGATTGCAGCCATGGGGAGCCTGCAGTGTGTTTGGAGTGGGGCTGTTCCTTCTGAAATGAGCAGTTCAAGCTCCAATTCCTTCCTGACCTCTCCAACTTCTTCACAGACCAGTGAGACGAGCACCAAGAAGAAGAAGAAGAAGAAACAAAAGGAGGTAGAAGAGAACTCAGAGTAAGCGACTGGATCTGTCCAAAGCAAGTGACCTCGTCAGTAGGGAGGGAGGAGTCTGAGGCCTTGAGAAAAGAGGACTGGCTGTGTGGCAGAGGGGTCAGCAAGTTCCAAGTTCCTTTTCGGCTGTGTATATGAGTTAGCAGGTGTGTTTGCTGAGGATATGCCCTGCTCAGGTACCCCTCCTCATCCTGTTTTAAGGGTTGCCAGAGGAGCGGGGTGCCTGACTGCCCCTGCACTGGATTGCTCTCTAAAGCTGAATACCATGATGCCAATAGAAGTGGTATCTTCAGGGAAGCTGTAGCTCCTGACTCTTGCTTGGTGTCTCTGTTTTCACCTTGAGAGGGAGGAATAACATTTCTCCCTGCTCTTGTCCTGCCTCTTTCTTCCTTTTCTTCCAAGGTTGGAGCTGTTACCCGACAGTCGCAGAATGTGTTGGTGTCTGGAGGACTGGCTTTGTCATGGCCCATCTGAATGGGCTTGGATGGGGACAGTCAAATCAGTTATTTGAAGGGTTCTGGTTTATTTTAACCTGGCCATATGCTTGGCTTGACTCTCAGCGAGATAAGATCAAATAGTTCACCCAGATACTCTTCAGTATTTTTTTTTTAAACTTTATCGTAAAAGGATTAGAACATTAAATTCCTGCTTTTTTGATTTATAGTGCGGGGACCTGCTTCTTAGTTGTTGGCTGATCCCCAGACCCAGCGCTCCAGTAACCTTGTCAGTGTGTACCTCTTGCTGGCTTTTTGCTCTTCTCTACCCCATTGTTGGAATGGGACCGCAGCGCTTTCAGTTGCCTTCCCTGATTTTGATATCTAATATGCCCTGACGGCTAGAAGTGGGGATGCTGCTGGGAGGCAGAAGCAAACTGACCAGAAGGCAGCTGGCCGGTATACTTTTCTAAAGGGCTGTTGGGACTGGTGTCTGTGTGAGGAAGAGCTTGGCCAGAGGCAGCTCTGCAAAGGGCACTGGGTGTGGGGCTTGAGAGGTTTCAGAAAGACTTGTCCTAATTTCCTTATCTGGGGTGGCTCACTGGGGGCAGGAGGTCTCTCCTCTGTCACAAGGGTAGTGCTGAGCCAGGATTTTAGCCCCTTTTAATGGGAAAGGATCCAGGCCGCTTTGTTCTGAGCTTCATCCCTGCAGAGATTCTATAACATTTGTCTTAGCCTCATGCATTGCATTTGTCTTAACTGTCTGACTTTTCTCCACTCCGATGCTAGAGATACACAGAGGCAGTGGGCCCAGCAGCTGCTGGCTGTCAGAACCTGAGCAGAAAAAAAAAGTCCGTTTTTATTTACTCTTTTTTTACATAAAAATAAAAGCCCTATTTTTGAATGGGTGATGTTCTTGCTCATCTGGCTCCTATAAGAGGTCAGTGGTCTGTTCATGGGGAGGCGAGGCAGCTTAATGCAGCTGCATGTTGTAGATGGGCAGGTAGCCCTTCTGCCCAGCCTTTGTGCTGCTCTCCTCAGAAGCTGCTGGTGCACAGAAGTGGTCATGTTGATGTGGGCCATCACTAGAGGGGCCTTTGTGGCTGGTCAGGACTTGAGAGGTGCTTATGGACCACCCTCTGCTTCTGTAAAACCTGCTGGGAAGTGTGCCTGGAAGCTGAGTGTTCCTCCTCTACCTATGCTGGAGTCAGCTACTGGAGAGGTCTTGCAGTGGCTGGAGGGACTGTTTAGTTCTGGCCTGCCTAACCTTGAGTGTGTTAGGGTCAAGGAGGTGGGAACAGACTTCCAGCTGTGAGCAAGTGCTCAGTCTGAGATAAAACACCAGTCACAGCAGTGTTTCAGCACTCGTTTATTGCTGCTCATTGTTTCCCTGCAGTGGATCAGAACGAAGGTCCCTATTGCACATCAACAGCTTTTATTTTTGGCATCCTTAAAAAATTGCACAAGACTTCTTAACCCCTTCCCCCTAGCTGACTGCTGAACACACAAATGAGATTCTTTCACCTAAATGATGGCTATAGTTTGCCCAGGGGCCATGTGATGCTTCCCAGACATGGTCATGGTGGGGCTTGTGCATCAGTGCACTCCTGCAGAAGAAGGAACCCCGTTGTGTGTGTGGCTTTTATGTTTGCATACAGTGTGCAAGACACCTAGACTCTGGAAAACATGCCTGATGATCTTTGTAGAGACACTTTCTACTGCATGCAACAGATATTTGTGGCTGGATCTAATTTACCACTGAACTGTCCCTCTGGGTTTGGTCCATGGGACTTCCTCAGCTGCTGCCGAGTTTCTCAGGCCAGGCAGTAACAATCCAAGCTGCACGGTGAGAATTTAAGTACAGTGAGTTTTTACAGCTACATTTGCACAGGGTGAATCAGAAACCTCCAACCTCAGAATGTGGGGTGAGACCTGCCTGGGGGTGGTGTGCTCCATGCCACCTTCATCAAATCCATGCTTGCCTTTTTCTGTTCTTCCCCATTTGTGAGGAGAAGCCCTTGGATGTAGGAGCTCTGGTGTGGTCTGTGTGAAGTGTCCTAAGCTGCAGGCCTCCTTGAAGCCTCATGGACTCTACGCAGGCTTTTGAGGTGTTTGTGGTGCTGTGTGCACTCCTGCGATGGCAGGGGACATCTGCCTGGAAAACCCCTGCTCTACCACTTCCCTTGGGACTGATGCAGATAAGATTGGCCAACTGCTACAGCAGGTCTGTACTTTCCCTTGCCTGGTGAGGTGGGGAGCTGTGCTCTGAGCTAACAGGTTGCCGTGGGCTCTGCTGTAGCCAGTAACTCAGCACTGCATTGCAGTATTGTGGGAGGTGGCCCATCCCCTAGGCAGCCCATGTCCTGCTGGGAGAGGAGATCCAGATACCCTGTGTGTGTGTAACCAATTGAGACCATGTCCATGGAGCAACAGAGAAAGAAAGTTGTGCTGGGCTGTGTGTGGATCAGAGGAAGCTGAGAAGGTTTCTTCCTATGGCCGCAGGATGGTTGATAGGAAGCAGCTGGGGTCAGATGCCCTCTCAGTAGACCCAGGAGATGGGTACCCACTGTGGAGAGCTGCAGGCCTGCTCAAAGGCTTCTTGCAGGAGCTGGAGGCTTTCTTCCACGCTGTTGTTGACCAGTGAGAGGTCAAAGTAGTGTGCGTATCGGCTCCGGATGCTCTCTGAATCCTTCCAGAGCTGCTGCAAAGCCTCTGACTGCAAGAAACGGGAGTGCTCAGGAGGTGAGGGAGGAGGGGAATTTCACAGCCCACCCTAACAGGCAAATTCCCTCCCACCACCAAAACAACTCAAGTGGCTGCTAAGTATCAGAGCACAGAGCATACCTGCAGCTTGTCTGACATGCTAGGAGCTGTTGTGCGATCTCTGGGAATGTGTGTCTGGGGGTTTTGCTGAACTCATGCAATGCTGGAAGTACCAGGTTACCTGCCAGAGTGAGGCCAGACCTGCTTGGTCTCTTATCTTTAAAATGCTTTGTGGCCACTCCTGAGGAGGAGAAGGTTCACCAAGCAGCAGGCTGCTCATTACCATGCTATGCAGTGCAGCCAGCTCAAGAAATAAGGCTGGTTTCAAGGTAGCATCCCTGTAGAATGGTCCCTCCCCACTGGTTTTTGACCAGAACAGCGCTGGCTGGCAGAGGTGTACCAGCCTCTCTCTCTACTGGTTTTGGCTAGGATGGAGTTAAATTTTTTTCACAGTAAAAGCAAAGGTGCCTGCTTTCTCCTGCTGGTGTGGCTAGAGTCTGCACAGCTCCCCAGGTAGCACAGGCATCCCAGGAATCTGTCCCTGTGGGCAGCTGTGCCCTCAACAGCAAAGTCCAGACCGATTTCCATGTATCCCCCTAACCCAGCTTGAAACACAGGTGGCTCCCTGCTGCTGTGCCTGCGGGGGTGGTGGTGGGGTGGGTGAGCTTGGGGTGCTGTGCTTGCTGCTACTTTGCTGTGTGTTGCCTGACAGTTCTTGGGGGTGGAGATGGGAGAGCAATAAGCAGTTTGCCTGGGTGCCATGTGAGCCCTGCTAGGTCACATTTTGGTTCTGCTGCATCCCTTCTAGTAAGCAGTTACCTGAGCTGCGGCAGCTAGCTATATATAGTGCCTGCACCAGCGGGGCTGGCCCTGCCCACTGCGGCAGGAGTTAATTCCTCCATCTGGAAGCAGCGGTGGGTGATGGGGCAGGGAGGTGGGGGCAGCAGGTGGCCTAACTGCCCTTTCTGCCCTCACGCTTGCCCCTCTTTTCTGCCCTAGCCTGCTGCATCTGGCTTTACAGTCTCTGCAGGTTAATGTGCCTCTGAATGCCTGTGCACTGGTTGCTCTGCAGGCTGTGTAAATATCCTCCCTGCAAACTAGCTGGATCTTAAGCTTTATGAACCCCAAATTAGTAGGTTAGGAGAGGTGGCCGTTGCTGGCCATAGAGGAGCACAGCTCTGTGGGTTTCCCTATTCTCCCATCACTTCCCATCTCCCTGCAGAGGTTAGCCTTCAGGGGAGCTGGTCCAGGCTGCAGCAGGGCAGGATGGGAACCACTGCTCCCTGTGTCAGGGGCTTCCCGGGAAATGGCAGCGTGTGCCTGCCAGCCTTGTGCTTGGCGCTGTGTGAGTTAACTGAAGCATCAGTGCTGCTTTCATCCTAATTTTGGAGGGATGAGCATCTTAATGAGGCAGAGAATGAAAGGAGCTGCTGTTTATATGTTCCATTTGCATAGCTGATGGCAGGATAAATGTTCCTGCTGTGCAGCATTGCTGCAGAGATGCTCCTGGGTGCTGGGCTGTGCACCCCACTACATGTTAAAGGCTGATTATGCTGCAGGGATGGGTGTTGCTTGGGGGTGTCAGTCTGGGAGAGACTCTGTGGCTGCCGGAATCGCAAATTCCTGTGTCTCAGATCTGGGCCGAGGAGGTTGCCTGGCTCTCCTGGACCACAAAAATCAATGCAGAGAGGAAGAAGCCAATGTGGAGTAGGGAGAGAGCCCTGGGCTGCTGCAGCAGGCTCCCTGCCCCCCTGCCATGGGCAGGCAAGCCCAGCGGAGGGGGAATCAGCCCCAGCACCCTGCCACCCACCTGCTCTGCCTTGTCTGTTGGGGCAATGAAGACTATGAACGGAGAGAGCTCGGCCGTGCGGACGATCTTCAAAGTCTGTGGAGAGACAGGTGTAGTTACCAGAGTGTAGACATTCCTCAGGGTGGGAGCAAGCGCTGTTGGCTGGCTGCTGTCTCCCACTACCCCATCCTGCCCCCCAGCCAGGGTGCGATGGTGGGCTAAAGGGGCCGCCTCTAGTCTAGGGCTATGGGCTCTCTGGGTGGACTCCTGAGCCTGGGCGTAGTCAGGTGATATGGAGGCAGTTGGGTGAAGCTGGAGCGGAGGTTCCAGCATGGCTTCCCCTGTACCTCCTGGGGAGGATGTAAGGGCATCCCCAGCCCTGCTCTGGGCTGGCTATTGGACACAACCACTGCTTTGCAAAGCAGCACCCACATGTTTGGTGTTGGAGGGGAAGGGGTCCTTGTGAGTGGCCCATGCTGGCCCTGCACCCCAACTCCCAGAGCAGCCTGGTCCTGGCCTGCTGTCAAAGCCAGGTTCATGCTGTGACAGGGAATACCCTCACTGCACCCACACCTTGGGAACAGAATGCCACCCCAGCACTCCCTGGCTTTTTCCTTTGGGAAGGATGGGTGGGCAATGCACTGAGGAAGGCAGGGACAGTCACAGCCAGCACACAGGTAGTTCAACCTGTGGCAGCCCCCATCCTGCCCAGCCTGTCCCCTGCTCCCTACCTGGGGCTCAATGTCCAAAATAGCGACTTTGTCCTGCTGGTGGATCTTGTGTACTGTTTCGAACTTGGTGCCAAACATGTTTCCCTGGTAGCTTCCAAACTCCAGGAACTCGTTGGCTGAGATGTCCCGGGTCATCTCCTCAGTGGACACAAAGTAGTAGTCCTTTCCGTCCACCTCATTCTTCTTCTGGGGGCGTGTGGTGTCTGGGGAGGGAGGGAGATGGTGAGTAGTGGCCCTCAGAGTGGGGAGCCGAGTAGAACAGGCAGCCTCTGCTCTGGGTGACCTGTGCATCTTACCTTCTCTTTTTGAGCATGGGGCTAGGGCATGGAGGACCTGTGTACCTCAAGACCAGGGTGTACTAATCCCCTTTCAACTCCGTCCTGCTTGGGACAAGTAGGGAACTTGGCCAGCCTGAGGAGAGCCGTTGGGATGTGAAGAGTGAGGTCTCTCCGCAAGGCAGGCAGGTGCAGCCCTGCAGCCATCGGTGGGTAGGTTCAGCCTGTGGGACAGCAGGCAGGGAGGCCCTACAGTGCCCTATGTTGTGGCCTCTGATATTGGGGGCTTGATGGTGCTGGAGGAACATCTCCCCACCTTCCATCTGCTGTCAGAAGGTCCTGGCTCAAGAAGGTGAGAAGAAATGTCTCATCCTGTGCCCTCCACCCTGTCTGGGTACTTACATGGGGGTGGGTACATGAACTTCTCCGGGTTGTTGCTGAGCAGAGCGTTCTTGATGTGGCTACGGCCCACGCCGCTGGCCCCTGCAGAGAAGGAGGGATGGATGCTGGAGCTGGGCTCAGAGAAGCGTGGCAGGAGATGCTGGGCCTCTCTGCAGCTCTGTGTCACAGGAAAGGTGCAGAGCCTTGCCCAGGATCTGCTTTCTGAGCTGGTCTATGGTATCTTCCAGCCCTAAAAGAGGCTCTCCCTGCCCTGGATATGCTTACCTCCAGCCCTACCTGGAGGTGGGACCAGTGCCCACAGAGCAGCCAGCATGGATGGGCTGAATGGGCTCTCGATGCCCACAGGGTCCACTGACAAGTGCTCGGCACCCACAGTGTAGGAGTGCTTACTTTGGTGCAGCTGTGCAGACCAGAGCTACTTTTAATAAAAATTATCCATAAAGATACTTAGGAGCTGGAAACTCCTGAATTAACTCTACCTCAGCATCACAGTGCAGGTGCCAGACCATGTAGAATGCCACATGGAAGAGGTCAGCCTTCTTGGCCACTGCCGCAGGCAGAAGAAATGCTCCCCAGAGCTTACTAGGTTTTGAAGGGCAGCACTGCCCCAGCCCCTGTCCAGTCCTGGTTTCCTCCAGGACCCACCATGAGCAGCTGCTGCCTGGGGCAGGACCTACCGATGAGCACCAGAGTCTTCCTCTTGAAGGCAGGCAGCCTCACCACCTCCTCATATGAAACCACATCCAGCTGGTCGAAAACTGGGGTGGAGGAGAAACGAGACAGTGAGTGGTCAGAACTGGCTCAGCTGCAGCAGCAGGACCGTGTGCGTGTCGGACCAAAGCCAGGTCCTCGGGCAAAACGGAGGGAGCGATCAGGACTGGCCTAGGAGCTTGTCCCTGTTTCGCTCCTCAGGAAAAAGGGCAGCAGCGTCGGCAGCAAGCAGGATGTGGGATGCGGAGGGGGTGCTGGGGAGCTGGACCAGCAGCTGCTGAAGGAGAAGCCAGGGCTGCTCTAGCTCAGTAATTTGGCTCAGGACAGTGGGACCTGGGAGCTGGGTGGGGAGACAGCAGGATGCTGCAGGTAGGTCATTGCTTGAGGAGCTTTATTGATCTTGCTGATTTACGGCCTTGTTTGTTGCTGGTTGGAGCTGCAGGCTGGGCTAGCAGCCAGCACCTCCTCAGGCATCTGCCTTTGCTGGCCCAGGGCATGATTAGCATGGGGTGTTTGCACAGGCAGCTGAGGGGCAGGCTCCCTGCCCCACCAGGGACGCAGCTTGGCAGCTGTGGGGAGAAGTTTGGGCTGCTCCCTAATTGCTGAGCAGCAGCAAGGCCACCACCTGCCCTGTGTTCAGCAGCCTGTGGGGGTTTGAGGCCTGGGAGCCCAACCTCCCAAGGAGTTTGGGGCCAAGGGTGCCAGAGATTGTAACCGCAGGACAGCGCAGGAACCAGCTCCAGCCTTGTGCGCTACAGAGCTGCATGGGGATACAGCTGTGGCCACCTGAGGGGTATGAGAACTTTGAAGAAGGGATTCAAAAAAGCTGATAGCTGTGGGGTATCCTCCCAGGGTCCCACTGCCAACACAGCTGGGCTATTTGGTCTGACTGCTACAGAGGACAGACCCACCCCTGCCCAGAGGCAGGAGTGATGGCCAGGACTGGGGATGGAGCCCATTGCCCTGCTTGCACTTACTTGAGCTGTGCTTGGCCAGGTATTTATCTTTGCACTTCTTCTTCTTCCCAAAGGGGCTACAGCTCGGGGATTCACTCTGAGTGGACTGGGTGATGCTTGCCACACGCCTGCCAAGAAAGGAGGACACCACCATGGTCCAGCTGTCACCCGAAGCGCTAGGGGAGCAGTGGGATTGTCCCTCAGACATGCAAGGGCAAGAGGAGCAGGGTGGCTGCTGGGACTGGTAAAGGCTCACCCTGCGGTAGATGAAGGGGACATCTACCTCCTTTCCCAGCAGTGACACTGGTGTTACCCAACACAGTCACACTCCTCATAGTACATGGTCACTGTTCCCACCTCTACTCCCACATCCAGCCCTTCTGGCCAAATCAAGGGACCTACCACTCCTGCAGCTCTGGAGAAGGGATGAGTCCTGCTGACTCAGTGCAGGAGCCCTCCACCCGGCCCTGCCACCAATTGCTGTCGTCCTTGTTTATGATTTGAATCACGTCACCAGTCTGAAACTTCAGCCCTGCTTCCTTGCAGGGGATCAGGTTGTCTTTTTTTGGGTCGTAGTCAAACTGCGCCCTCATGAACATCTGCAAAAGAGAGAGCAGGCTGTAATCAGCATGGCCACACAGCGTGGCTGAACTTGGTCATGTCAGCACCTGGGCCCCACACTGCGTCCCCCGGCAGTGACTGCAGAACCAGCTCTAAGCACAAGGTCTCTGCTCCAGGGGGGGACCCCAGCCCCTGCTGCTTTCCAGGCCCCACAAGGCTGGGTGAGGAGAAAGGAGATGCACAAAGCCTTGGTGGAAGCTCTTGGGCATGAACCTGCAGTGAGATGCGCTGGTGGGTGAAGGAGAGAGGAGGATGGCATCTTGGCTCTACTGGGAGCCAGTGAAATGGCTGCTGCCTCTAGTCAGTCCTGCATGCCCCACAGCTGGTGCTCTAACGCTGACATGTAGCCCCTCTGCAGTCCCCCAGGGGCTGCACAGTGCTGCTGAGCCGAGCCAGCTGGAGACAAGTCCCATCACCTGGACCAACACGGTGCACAGCAACTGGGGTCTGCAATGGGGTGAGCAGAGAGGAGCCATTGCAAGAGCATGCCCTGCAATCCCATGTCCTGGGGACTCCAGGGAAAGCCATGTCTCAATCCAGAGCTGCTGTCCCTTAGCCTCTCCCCAGCACTGTGCACTCCTCTGCATGGCACAGGGCCTTCAGGGAGCTAAGGCTGCGGTGTCATGTCCAGACCCTGCCTGGGTGTGTCGTGGCCTCTTCAGCATCAGCTACTCTTGCAACGTTATGCCCATCACAGCTACAATGGAAATGAGCTGCTGCTGCTTCCCACGCCACTGTGCCACCCTCCTGGGGATCAGGAAGGTGTGAGAAAGTGGCCTTTCCCTGTCCTTCCCACTCGCTCAGGTCTTTGGGAGGGAGTCTACAGCACCTGCTCCCACCAGGACAGCCCACCCCACTGTCTCCTCCTCAAGCCCTCCTGAAGCCAGCAGGCACCCTGGGCTCTTGCTGCCCCTGAGCATCTCTGCAAGGTCAGGAGAGAAACAGCATGTGGCTTTCGCACACAGACCTTGTTTTCCAGGAAGGCTGTTCAGGAAGAACAGACCGTTAGAGAGCAACAGGATGGATGAGAGTCACTGATCCCGGGGAGGAGGGCAGACCACGCATGTGCACCCTGCGTTTTCTGCACTGCTGATTGATCTCAATGCCCGGATGAATGGTTTCTCATCTGAAACACTGCTGCAGCTGCAATTTGTCTCTGGCCAGTGCACCCAGCAAGATCAGGACCAGGTTAGAACTAGGGTGGAGGCAACGCCAAGGCAGGGTATGGAGGAAAGAGACTGAAAGGCAGGGTTTTAGGGAAAAAAGTAAGCTTGTGGCTAAGCACAGACCTCACATTGCCCTTGTTCCTCTCCTGGTGTTTTTTGTCCTGTGGGCCTGAGGCTGCTGGCAGTCTCCAGTCATGATGCAAAGTCTTGCAGGCTCTCCCACAAGTCATGGGAGCATCCCGTTGTTTGAAACTTCTGTGATCACTCAGGAAGGTGCTGGGCCTGCCCAGCACTCATGCCACCAACAGGAGATCCTTCCACAGGGGAAGCAGCACTATCAGACCCAGCCTTATGCTCGCACTAATGCAGGCTTCACCTGAGCACAACCGTATCAAGTTATTTATCCCAGAAACGCAGCACATGCATATAGCAAGCAGGCAAAGGTATTCATGTGGGGTTATGCCTATGTCCTGTCCTCAGATGTGACAGGCAGAGCCTGGAAAGTTATCTGCCCTGGTTAGGGTAGACCATGTTAAAACAATTTCCTGCAGTATCTCCTCCAGCAGTGCTGCTGAAGGCACAGGGCCAGCAGGACACGAACATAGTTCTCTTTTACTGCCAGAAAAGCAGAGCATATGGATCAAGCTGTGACATGAGATCTCTCACAATAGAAGACAAGAGTGGAATCTCCTTTCAGGATGAGGACCGATGCCTGCTTTGAAAGCACTCTCTGGCACCAGGAAACTGGGCATCACCACAAATGCACAAGGGACACTCAGCAAGCACTGCCCAGGCACCTGCCTGGAGCCCTCTGCTCCTGCAGCCCTGGTACCCCAAGCCAGACATAGCCAGGTCACTTTTGGAAAGACCCTCCAGGACGCCAATTAGGAGTTAGCATCAGACAGCTTCAGGCGTCACCCATGGACGGCAAAGGGCCAGCTCCAAATGCAAGCTATTTACCTGCCTGCTGCCAGCCCCCTCTCTGGGGGTGGAAGCCCAGGTACTGAGCAGGCTCCAGCGTGAGAAGCCCTGATCTTTAAAGTCAAAAGGCTGCAGGCTGCGCCTGGGAACAGGTTGGTGGTGACCTCCAGAGTCCTTAGCGCTCAGTGCTTCTTCTCATTAGGATCCTCCCAAGCAGACCTGCCCCAAGATACAGTCAGTTGGTCTCAAAGTGGCTGGCTACCAGGCTGCGGGGCAAGCCAGGGCAGGGGGGGCATTGAGATACCAGAATCTGCACTGTCCTGCCTGCCAAGCCCTGAAATGACGGTGATCATGGGGATCCAGGAGTTGAAACAAAATCAGAAGCGCACTCTCAGCAGTGGACTGCAACAAGCAAGAGACACCGGTAGCCCGTGAGCTGTGGTTCTGGGGAGCAGACAGCACCATGGCCCTGGACACGGCAAGAGGGAGGACAACTGTTGCTGGGAAGGAGTTTGTCCCTGCCTCCTTCCCTGAGCCCATGCCCAGCCTCAGGTGAACCAGCAACTGTGTTCTTTTTCTCAGAGGTAACTTTTCCCCTGGCACTGAGCTGGCCTGGCTGATTGAGGCTGGCTGAGTCAGAAGGGCAGACATGTTTAATAAACAAACATGTGCAAGGCTGGTTGTGCTGGAATGGGAAGAGCATGGGCTGAGCAAGAAACGGAGACAATTTTCACTTGCCACCACGTTCAGAGACTTCAGTTTCTCTGGGTAAGGAAGGAGGGTGACATGGGCTCCCTCAGCCCATCCCAGCACCATCCAGCCCCCTCCCTCTGCCTCAGCTCCTCTCCCACTCCTGCCTGTCCATGACAGGGGCACTGCGCTGGGGTTAGCTCTTGCATCTGAGGACAGGACAGCATCCCAGCCAGCATGCACTGAAGTCCTGGCAGAGGAGCCAGCCCTCCTGAGTATTTTGGCCACAGCAGGACTTCAAAGGCAAAGCCAGGCAGGTGTCACCCCCTGCTACATCATGTCACCCCCCACCCTGGCAGTGGCAGCAGGCACAAGGAGCTGCCTTCCTCTCCCCCACCACTTCCTTCCTCCCACTCACTGCTCACAAGTGTGCTGGCGGCATCCAGACCTATGTCACCCTCCTTGCGGCTGATGCACTTGGGCACCAGTGACGGCGGGGAGCAACAAGAGCCCAGTGCTGCACCTGGAGGTGCTGCTGTGGCCCTGTAACGAGGATGTAGCTCTAACGGCTCCGAAGGTGTCAGGAAACTCTCTCGTGCTTCCTGGTGTGCACACACTGCTGCTTTCCCATCACCTAACACTACACTGTGGCTCAGGCATCCCAGGCCCACATTCCTACACAGACATTGGGTAAATACATCCCCACAGGGCCAAAATCTGCTTGTTTACAGTGATATAAGCACAGGACAGGTCCCTTCATCCTCCAGCAGCTCTGGCAAGGTGACCAGGCAGCCATCCCCTTTTTCCCCTGGCTCAGCACAGCTCTCTGCCCAGCGCTGGTCCCCTGTGGTTTGCTCTGGTCCCACCCAGCCCCACAGCCATGTCCTGGCACAGCCTCTGGGTCTGGAGGCTGCACTTACCTGGAGAGCAGGGAGGCGGCTTTGTTGGTTGGGAATGACTTTTATTGAGACCGTCCCCTTGGTTTCTTTCTAGTGAACAAAGGAAGGGGAGAAAGAAGAGTTGGAGGAGGTAGTGCCTGGAGGCAGCCCAACAGCAGCAACCTGTGCAGGGAGCTGCTGAGTGCCAGGACCTGCAAAGACAAGGTGCACCCAGCCGTGCTGTGATGCTGAGGAACACCACAGCCTGGCCAGAAACAGCTCTGCTGGGGCTGGGGTAAGAGCCGTGGTGGCATAGCTTTGCCATGCTCGTCCCATCCCCATGGGGGGGACACCAACAACCCCACAAGGGGCTAGCTGGGGCCACTGCTAAGCATCGTCACAATGAACATGGAGATCTCTATCACCTCCGGCCTGGCTGACCCAGTGTAAAGCCTGGGAGGAGAGGCTGGTTCTGCCAGGTTCCCTCCATCTGTCCTCTCCATGCTGGCCTCTCACTCCTGCCCTCCTGGTGACATCAGAGGGACAGCACTCCCTTGCCTGCCACAGGCCAGATGCACTGTTGCCCCATGTGCTTCACAAGACCCACATGGTCCCACGCGGACAACCACCTTTGGAGGCTTGGAGAGGCCTCCTGGGCCAACAACCCTTCTTGGGTTGCTTGGCAGACAACAACAAGCTCCTCCTCGGTCCTGCTGTCTGGAGCAGGGACGTCCCGCCACCAGGCAGGCGAGGACTGTGGCACTGCAGCAGGACCAGGCCTCCTACTTAGGCTGCTGGTGGGTGTCCTCAGCACCACCACTACCCCCCTCCAGCCAGGTCCCACATGTTGGGCATGGATCAGGATGGCCTCAGTGTGTGAACCTAAGGCAGGTCTGAGACCCTGTCCAAAGCTGTCTCTAGCAAGGGCCTGGCAGGGTCACCGTGACCTCAGCAGCAGGAAAATGGCACCAATGCCAATGCCTTGGGTCTGCAACTGCAGCCAGCCCCTGCGCTGGAGTTGTACACCAGCCCTGGCAAGCAGAGGTGGTTTCCAAGCCCCACACACATCAGCACACGTCCAGGACCCAGCCAACAGCCTTCACTGCTGCTCCTGGGAGGCCAGAAACAAGCAGCAAGCACAGGCCACCAAGGCTGCATAGAGAGACCTGGCGCTTGGCCGTAGTACAGCACCCCGGCTCAGTGGGTCTGGCTCCTGTCACATCACACGGCTGCAGGCAGCTGTGTGTTGGCTCTTGTATCTAGGAGGGGGTGAATGCTCAGCCGGCATGTACATCTGCAGGCCAAAGGGGTCCCTCCTGGGGAACAGCCCTGCCAAACACAAATACCTACCAGCATCTTCTGCAGCTGGTCAACTGAGTGGTTGCTCACACTCTGCCCATTGATTTCTATGATTTCGTCACCCACGTGAAGGGAGCCTGCCAGCAACGGGAGAAACATGAAAATGCAGGACCAGACAAGAGCCGCTCACCAAACCCAAACTACACAGCTCCACCAGCCTCCCGACCCCCCGGGCAAGCTGTGGCCAGGACACTGCAGTGTTTGCCTGGGCAATGCTTGTGGAGCCACACATGTCACCTAAGCACATGGGACTAAAGCACAAGGGGAATGAATTCTTCCCTCTCCACCCAATACACATACTTCATCCAGTCTGAAGGTCATCAGGTTGCTTTCCACTGTGTGTCCTTCAGTGCTTTAGACTAGTCAAAGCACCTGTTTCAGAGTTATTCAAACCCAACCCCAAGCACCTCACATGAAGTCAAATGACAGCCTCCTTACAGGGCACTTAATACAAGCGTTCTTGAGTTTGTGTGTTTTCAGTTTACATCCTCAGCCAGATTACAGCCTCAGATACACTGCTATAAATCAGGCTACAGTAGCGTTATTGGAATGAGTCCTGGGTTATTTTGGCAGGGGTGAGCTCAGACTTCCCATTTGGATCCAGGGCTGGAAAAGGGGCCTCTTCTTCTAAGCACAGAACATCTCATTTCCATGCCCCCTTGGCAAGACCCAAACCCAGAAAATAGCACCTATTTATTTCTTTTGGCACCTTCTTTTAGCCTGCAGAGCCAATCCACAGCAAGCCTGTCCCACCTGTGCACTTTAGGAACGGGAAAGGCTTCTCCTGCCCTCTCTGGGGTATGATCCATCTCTCATTACAGTGACTCCGTCACGAGATGGAGACAGTTTTCAGTTCCTTTTTGGGAGCACCCTTCCCCCAACCCTTTATTTCTCCCTAAAGCCTCCAGTGTATTAACACGACAACCATGCAGACAGACCAGTGAGTCCTGAGTCCCTGACATATTCCTAGTGGAAGAATGGACACTGATGTCCATGTCACTGGGGAAAGCCAGTGGTGCTGGGGGGCTGTCTTATCTCTGCAGGGAAAGAAACCAGCTGCAGATGTGCACCCCATATACTGTCTCTGTGAGGGCCTTGTTACCTTGTCTGTGAATCATGCCCCCATGGAAGATCCTGGCCACCATGCAGCTCTGCTTGTCGTTGAGCTTCAGCGTGATTCCCTGGAAGACAGGAAAATCCATGACTGCTCGCTGGAGGGGAGAGCTCCCACACTTTCAGCAAAGTCCTCTCCAGGCCCATGTCCACAGTGGGCTGCGCAGTGCCTGGGGGGAAGCCCCTTGCTTGGCCAGCCGAGCCTGCTGCAGCTCCTCTTGGCACAAGCATCACCACCCTTTGTTGGGGCTCACTCCAGGTCCCCAGGCAGGAGGCAGGATCCAGCACCTTCTTCCCATGGCCAAGGTCTCCAGTAATCTCTTGGCATGACATATCATTGGTATGGCTCTACCTGCCCCTCTGCCCCCCTAGGTGCCACCAGGCTTTGGGATCTTGCCAGCTCTCACCATGGGCTCCTCTGTAACCTTCTCAAACTGGACGAGGCGTATCTTTCGCACCTCACGGCCGTTGCTGTGGGAGGGGCTGCCCAGAGTTGCTGAGCCGTTGGTATAAATGTCCTCAGTCATGGCGTTTGGGGACTGAGTGATGGCCTGTCGGGGCAAAACAAAGACCAAGGTTTAGGGGCTCCACCTGAATGGGGCCTGGGAGTGCCAGCTCCCTGCTGTGGGGCTGAGCTACTCCACCATGTTAGGGTGCCTGCGGTGCAGGTGGGTCACAGGAGGAGGAGAGACCTATGGGCTGGAGGAGAGGACAGTAAAAGCAAGGAAAGAAAAAGAGCAAAAGCGCTTCACCCTTGAAGATGTGGATGTAGGCTTGATCTGCAGTTTTCCAGCCTGAGAAAGGCAGCAGGTAAGAAAACTTTGGAAAAGTTACAGGTAGCAGAAGCCAAAAGAGTCCACAGCTGATCACCTTCTGCAGCAGTGAGTCCCAAACACCACTGTGTGTCACAGCAGCACTTGGCCCACAGCTGGCTTGTTGCAGAGCATAAAGCCCAGGACAGCTTCACCGAGTAAACGGAGCAGTTTGGGACTCACCCCTGAAAACTAGGGCCAGGCTCTGCTCTTGCTCAGTTTGCAAGTTCAGCCTTTCCCCATCTACGTCAATGAGGAACCAACAGCGCAGAGCCACCACCACATCCAGGCACTGAAGGCAACATGCTCCCAAGCCACCCAGAAACTCCCCATTCCCCTCCCCAGCTTCCAGCTACATGCCAGTTCATGCTGGCTGGCACTGGGAAGCCAAGCAGGGGCTTTCAGCCATGGAGAAACTGTTCTTCCTCTCCAGCAGGCGCTGGCACCGGGGCAGGTGGAGGGTGCATGGGGTCCCAGGCAGAGACCTCCAGACTCACGCTGCCATGCAGCAGGGACACTACAAAGTGAACTCCTACCTCCCGGTCTGAGAAAGCCTGGTGCAGTCTTGTTAAACCCCTCAGGCATGCTGGGCAACGTCTCCACACAGCTTGCAGATGAGCCAGTTTGGCCCCAAGCACAGTGGACTTCCCTCGAGCCTCTGCCAAATCAGTGCTGGCCCAGCAAAACCCAGGCCAGCTTTGATCTGTAGCCCCTGCCCACCTTGTCAGCACACTCAAATCCCCACACCAGCCTGCCAGGCAAAGCAAACCCTTCCAGCTGCCCCGCTCCACACTAGGCTGCCAGCTTTGCTGCCCAGTTTGCAGCTTACATCCTCCCTCCGAGCAGCACCAGGGTTGGGAGCCACAGCCAGCAAACCTGCAGGGACACCCAGCGAGGTCCTCGACAGCTTTAGTCCTGCATCAACGATGCGGCGTGCCATGCCCAGCCAGGCAGAGCCAACACCTCTCCTTGCCACACGCCGACTTGCCAACACTCGACTGAGTGCCAGGCCCTGGGGCTCCACGCCAGCGGCTGGGGAAGCAGCAGCCTGACCCCACTGCCCTGGCTCGCTCCCACCCACCGCAGGCACTCGGCCCGGAGGAGAGAAGAAGCTGCAGCCCCATGACACCAAGGGGTGAGATCTGGCCAGGCCGTGGGGAGATTCGTGTGGGTGCAACTAAGGTGAAGAGCATTTGCTGGTGGGGTGCAGCTACGGCACTAAACCACAATGTTAGCTTTGGTAGGGATGTGCCAGAGTGCTGCCGGGCTGAAACAGCAGCCCAGCCCTGTGTGATGGTCTAAAGCAGGGAGGGAGCCAAAGGCAGGGGCAGCCAAGCCAGGACAGCGGGAGAGGTGCTGGCAGAGAGGGACAGACCAGCATCAAGGCACGGGCACTGCCGCAGCCTCAACGAAAGGGCACCGGCAGGGTTGGGCCAGGGCAGGAAGGGCACAGGGAGCTGTGTGCCCACACTGCAGCAGCAGGGAAAATGAGCGATTTATTTTTAAGACAACTACTTCTAAAAGAGCCAACCAACCTCCTCCTCAGAGGAAAAAGGTGACTGTGTGGGCTCCAGCTGCCAATGGCTTAAACATGGAGAAGGAGACTGAATCCCAGCCCAGACCAGTGCCTGGGCCAAGGACTTGTGGGGTGGAAAGAAGAGCGACTTGCAGCCCTCCAACGTGGCTTGCCAGCCCCAGCAAGGCATGGGCATGCTGTGCCATTTGCAGGGCAGAGGGACAGATCCAGCAGTGCTGGTGCCTAGCCTTCTGTCGGCCTCCCCGCTCTCGGCGGAGCCAGCAGGTGGGAGGAGGAAGAGGAGGACGAGGACCTTCTCCAGCCCCACCCAAGGTCAAAGTGCCCGTGAGGTGGTTTGAGTCAGCACAGACCACACTTATCTTGGTCATGCCTTGGGAAAACGCTACACCGTGCAATCCCTGGCTTCAAACCTCTAGGCTCAGCAGAGCTCAATGACCCAGGACACAGCACAACCTGCTCCAGGGGCTGGGAGTTCCTGTCCCCGCTACCCTCACCATCCCCACCAGCTGAGCCTCCCGGCCCTGACCTTTGCTTTTTGCTGAGAGCTGGAGAAAAAACCCAGCCCTTGATGCTGACACAGCACCAGCATCACCCTGGTGACTCCCAGAGAGCAAGCCTTGTCACCAGAGACTCACTGCTGTGCCTGAGGATGGCCACCAGTCGCTTGATGGGCAGCTCTGAACCCAGCAGGGTCCTCCGGCAACTCCTTCCTCCTTCTGCTCCAAACAGAGCCATGCTGCGATGGCGTGGCTTTTGCTGACCGCACTGAGCAGCCAGTGGATGGGGATGCAATGGCAATGCCTGTGACCTTAAGAGCCTTTTGAGTCATGCTGGCGGCGGGCCAGACCCTGCTACTTACGCACTGCTCCACAGGAAACATCTGCCAGTGCTGCTAAGAGCTGGCTTCATGGCCACCAGCCACGGCTGGTCCTGCACAGCCCCCGGCTTGGTTACCACTGGGGCTAGCCTTGGGGCAGACATGCGGCCAGGACGTTGGGGGCTGAGCTGTGCTATAGGGCTGTTGGGTGCTGGGCAGGGCCAAACAGCCCCCATGGTGGGGCTCAGCCCTGCCCAGCACCAAGCAGCCCTATGGGTGCCTTGCAGCTGGCTGGCAAAGGTAAAACTCCTCATGCACAAATCCTGTTCCAGGTGGCAATGCACAGAGAAGCCACCAGCTTCATGGGTCAAAGAGGTGCACCTCAGCTCCCTGCTTGCATTCTCCTCGAGACCCCAGATTTCTGCCCCATATCCCAGCGTGGAGGGAAGGACACCAGCTCCCTGGGCAGTGTTTGCCAACAGGGAATTTGGCGAGTGTGGAGCAATCCTCAGCAAGGACCTTAGGGCTTGGCATCCTGTCCCCCGGCAGGGTCAGCATCCTCTGTCAGGGTTGCTCCTGCTGCTGCACTGGCTCAGCCAGGCTGACGGCACCGGGAAAATCAAACATTAACTGGGCAGTTTGTTTGCAGGAGGCTGAAGCAGCACTTGGAGAAAGCAGCACCATAGTGCAAAGGGCACGTTTGGTGGTTTGGTTCCTGGGCTCTCCTTACTGCTCTGACCAAGAGACTTCAATTATCAGGTGGCCTTGGAAGAGCAGGGATCCCTGGTGAGCATGTGGAGAAAGGTCAGATGCTGCTGGCTTTGCCAAGCAGGCCTCCAAAGTACAGCAGCTCGGATGCAGGAGGGAACCCTGGAGCCAGGATCCCCTGGGATTGTCCCCTCGGCTGGCAGGGAGACATGCTCCGCTGCCCACAGTGAGCAACAAAATCCCAGCTCCCTCCATCACCCTCACGTCCTAATCACTGTGGGTGTGTGCAGGGAGGCTGGGGCACTGGCTGGTGCAGAGATGTCCTGGCTCAGCAACCTCTCCTCCTGCTCTCGAGTGCTCACCTCCCCACCATCCAGCAGATGTGTGCATCATGGTCTCAGTACAGCTTAAAAAACACAGCAATGTGTAAAAAGAGCAAACTAGCAAAAAAAAAAAATAATTTGGGAGTTGCTTTTGGGCTGCTCCAGCAGCTTGGGGAGGAACAGCCACGTGGACATTTAGAAGTAATTCATCCCTGCCCACTGTCAGGGGCTACTGCCTTCTCAGGTCTGCCAGCACAGCTGCAGGAGCAACCTCACCCAAGATCCCTTCCAGCAATATGATACAGGGTTCGGTTTGGTTTTTTTTAAACAAACCCCACATTTAAACCAAACAGGATTACATTGCTGGCACTCGGAAAAGGCCCAGCAACACCAACAGGTTGCAGTAGGAAGGAGAACAGAGAAACAGGTGGGGTACAAGCAGTCGTGGAGGTCAGAAGATGCTGCTGGCTCTGCATGCCCTTGCACTGACTCCAGATCGGAGTGCTGCAATGGAGAAGGGCTAGATTTTCAAGGGAGCGCAGTTAGTTTTGCTGAGGCACCATCTTCTCACCAGGAAAGGCTGATGCAGCCTTCTAGATATGTTTGTGAAACCGGTCACCTCCAAGGGAGAGTCAGTAAAACCACAATACTGACAGAAGAAATCTTGACGAGCTGCCCAGCTGTTCCATCCCTACCTTCCAGAACAAGCCCTGCAAAACGGCTTTTCCCCTGCAGACGTTACAGGCTGGAACATGGCAAAATGCATTTGAGATTAAAAAGTTGGAACCAGCCCTCCCCACTTCATTTTGGTCAAGCCCAGAAGTTTTGCTCGGCTTTCAACCACTAGTTTTACCCGTGGTCATTTCAGGATTTGGTCCCTGGGGACTGTGGCCTCAGTCTGCTCTGGAGCTGGTGCTGGTTGGATGCTGGGAACCACTGGCCACAGGGGAGTGCAGTGTCCCATCCGCACCCTCAGGCTCAGCTCTCTCCAGAAATATCCTCCTTTTCTCCGCTGGACTCCCAAAGGTCACATTTGCTGCCCATTTTACCGTTGGGGAACTGAGTCATGGCCGATAAGGGGACATGCCCAAGGTCACCCTGCCAACCAGATGCACAGCTGGGAATAAAGCCCACACTTCTTTGGTAAATCTGTATTTGCCAGTTTGGAGATAAGGAAAAGATATGCAGGCATGTGGTGGAGCTCAAGGGAAGAGGGCAAGTGGCTTCCTCCACTTTGGCTTGTTTTCTAGCAATAACACGGCTTCCACTCACCAAGGATTTGCGTGCCCTGCCGCCATGGGATGGCACTTCCCAGTGTGCGGCTCTGCCAGAGGAGATGAGGAAGAGAAGCCTCC